GAGAGTCTCCAGACTGATCTGCGAGTGAAACCTTGAAAGCTCGCGAGATCAGGATGGTCTCACAAGGCTATTGCATATCATCCTCCCAATAATTTGCATAGTTTATTCATTAGAATATGATGTGCATATTGATGAAAAAAGGTCTGCTGAAGAGTAAAACCTAAACACTTTGTAGAATAAACAGTTTTTAATCAGAATCAGTATCATATTTATTGCCAAGTAGGTTTGCACTTATAAGGAATTATGACATGCAAACCTTCTAAAGATGACATCTATGGAGGGTTGGGCTGGGTACAAATGCATGCCTCACTTTTCAGATTTTTGTTCGTTTTTTATCAGAGCCAATAGTCAATTTCCTTCCATTCCCCAGTAATATGTTACTTTGAGCTGATATGTCACACTAATCTCCCCATAACTATGTATTAGTTTAAATGTGTGAACAACACTATCAGGATTCAGGTTTTTGTATTGGAACACTCACTTGTAAACATCTTCCACCTTTTCTACGATCTTGGAATTTTCTCCATGTCTTATTTCCTCACATGCCAACCAGAAATGTAGGTTCTCCGCTGAGAATGATAAGACACACACACACACACACACCCACACACACACATTAAGGTACGTAAACAATGACGCAGGGAAAAAATTAGACTTTATATAGCAAAAGGGCCTCTGAGGAATATGATGGCTGCCGGCAATATTTCATTCACAGTTTCTGCTTGGATGAACAAATCCTTTTGACTAGTTTCCCATCTTTTCTTTGCAGTATTTTTCTGCCACTGACATCTTTCATCACATTTGTTCCTTATTCAAGCATTTTGTTTAACTCTCTCAGCTAATAGTTCGATAATATAATACTTGTTTTCTGTTTTGAGAATAGCAAAAGCTACCAGGAGGAAAATCAGATTAAGATTAAGAACATAGAATAACTTTATTGTAATAACTGTAAGAAAAAATAGCTACTACATAGTTTTTATTCAAGTTGTTTAATACAATTTATGACAGCTAACTGGATGCTGATGATGATTCTCAGTCATTGCGTAAACGTAAAAAAAAAAAAAAATCCACTGGACTTGGTTTCCAAGATTTGAAGACGTTTCGCCACCTCTCCAGGAAGCTTTCTCAATTGAGAAAGCTTCCTGGAGAGGTGGCAAGTCCAGTAGATAAATTTTTTTTTTTACTTTTACGGAACAGCTAAGTGGATCTATTTCAAAGTTTCAAAGTGCACTGTTTTGCCTCCATTTAGCTCAGTGGTACAAACATCTGTGATTCTCACCACTGAACTCTTTCTCCAGGTACGTCATGAACTCCCGCCTCCCCATGGCGTCGGACAGAAGCTCCATGAAACTGAAGCTCCAACGCTCCACGCGAAGACGAGTAGGAACTGGCACCCTGAGCCAAACAAACACATGATCAACTATGTCATTCGTTTTCCAGATAACATTCAAAACTCTTTTTTTAACCAATACCACTTTTTATAACCTTTCTATTTGTAGTCACTAAGCCACTTGATAATTATAGATTCACAACATTACACCATCTCAAAGCACTACACAGTTAAATTAGTGTGTTAGACTTCTGTTGCTGCTGTTGTATGTTGAAAGTAGACACTTGCTTAAGCTAAAGCGCAGATTAAGGGCAGATTATACTTCTGAAACCTCAAACATCAAATGTCACTTGGGTCTGGTCGCGAACCAGTTTTGCTGGCATGCTTCTGCACCGTCGGTCTGGAATTTCTAGGGAAGCACAGCAGTTTCCCGCCAAAGCGCTAGGGGGAGCCTATTCGAGAGCTCACGAGAACTTCTTCGGCGGCGCAGGAGTGTTTATTTTCCAAAACAACATGTCTGAGGCATCGTACAAGTGGTTGTACTTCCAAACCTCCTCGATCAACCTTTCGTCGTGGTTATGCACTGTTGTTATTACTCCTCAGTTTTAAAAAATGGCGTGCCTCGGCACCAAAATCGAGAAGGACAACAACACAGATAGTCGGAAAGGCATACGAAGGACCAAGTCATATTTTTTTGAGGTGCGCAACAACAGTTGCAGATCCTCTGCACAGAGACAGATTTGGTAGTTGCAGAGGCTGTGCGTCAGAGGTATAAAATGGCCTTTATACTTCTGCAACCGTAGACATCAAATGTTGCTTGGGTCTGGTGGGAACCAGTTTTCCTATTATGCTTCTGAACTTTCAGTCTGGAATTTCTAGGAATGCACAGCAGTTTCCAGCCAAAGCGCAAGGGGGAGCCTATTCAAGAACTCGCAAAAAGCTTCCCCAGATGGTCACGAGAACTTCGCCGGCGCGAGTGTTTATCTTCCAAAACAACAATGGCACGTCTGCAAGATATCACGGTCACGGAGATGGATCTAGAGTTGCTAGACATCGAAGAAGAAAAGGTTCTGTTAATGGAGTTGGCAAAAAGACAGATTAACCTTTCGTTGTAGTTGTCCATTGTAGTTGTTCCTCGGTTTTAAAAATGGAGTGCCCCGGTACAGAATCGAGAAAGATGACCACACATACAGCTGGGAAGGCATACGAAGGACCAAGCACAGCTGATTTTTGCCTGCGCACTTCCGCACGAGAGCTACGTGGGTTTGCGACCATCCGACGCATAGTCAGGATTTTTTTGACGTGCGCAACGACGGTTGCAGAATAGAGACAGATTTGACGGTTGCAGAGGCTATGCCTCAAAAGCATAAATTGGCCTTTATTCATCTATGCCTGAGCTCGTTCCTTCAAAAAACCTGATGTTAATCTGGGGAGGTTGTAGGTTCCCCAGCTCCGTTTGTCTCTATGGTTGTTTTTTAGAGCCTATGCTTGTCAGCTCTGCTTCTCGCAGTGATGTAGCTACAGTGTGGCTAGCTGCCATGAATGGATGAATGGACAGCACCAGTACATATTGTTAACCTTTGGGACTTCATACACACTAGGATTTAATTCAACCCTGATAAATGCTGAGTTACAATATACAGAGTATAATTGTTACATTTTTTCTTCTAACTCAGTCCCAGTGTTAACTGTTTAAGACTTTTAAACATGCTATTTTAGCTCGATCTCAGTTTGAAAAATATATACAGTGTTGAAATTAACTCTTTTGGAGTCACCAACTCACTGACAATGAGTGAGTAAAATGACAACACTGCATCATTTCAGTTAGTTACTTAGTATGTATATAATTCAGTAGTATCTCTTGCAATGTTTTGAAGGAATCCAGCTAACCGAGAAACTGGTCCTGTGATAATAGACTGAAGCAATAGCATGGAAACCTTCCAACTCTTTAAGACAGAAGAGCGGTATAAAAGAACCCAGATGATTTGTGCAGAAAGCTTGTTATGATTATGGAAACCATTGGACGGTTTTAGTGACATTAAAAGCTTTGCTACTGATTACTGTTTGGTATTATGAGTTATTTTGGAGACTTTTGTTCTGTAATTCTATAAACAGTCAACAGAATAGAAATAGCTCTATCTCAACATCTTTTACTCTGTCATGTGTTTATCTAACACAGGGGTCTGCAACCTGTAAGGGCTGCATGTGGCTTTTTGGACCCTCTATAATGGCTCTTAATAGTGGCTAAAAATGATAGGCAAATGAAAAAATGAACTAATGTACTATAATAAAAAAAACACCAGTCTAAGAAGTAGTGTTGCACCGATAGGGTTACCAGTATCAGGCTGGGCCCCGATCCAGCACTAAAATAGTGGTATCAGTATCAGAGAGTATCAACAAATAGGGCACCAATACCATTTTCAGAGCCAAAAGTTTATTCAGCTGTTGTTCCTTTTTCCAGGTAGGTAATAAAAAGTTCTACTGGATTCACTTTGTATTAGTCTTTTTTCCTGCTTCACAAAGGTAGGCAGCAGTTTGACAAAACCATGATGGCAATTATATTATGGGCAAAATGACTCTTTCAACATGAAAGGTTGCAGACCCCTGATCTAACCAAAAGCATTCTTTTGGTCAAATAAAATACATTTGATCTTACTTATGTCTTTATCTTTGACCAACAGTAAATTGTTCAGCTGTGTGTTGACTCCAGCAGTGTGGTAGGCTGAGCTTGAATCACTTCTCATCTTACGTTTCTGAGTTCATCGTCCAGTGTGCGATATCATCAGAGATCCAGGGGTTACTGGGAAGGCAGCCTTGCATTATGGGATCATGGTTCAGGTACTGCTCGCTGTACTTGACAAAACTGCACAGATGCAGAGGCACGCATGCACGCACACACAATAACACATGCACACACAGTTTTATTGCATTAGTGCAGCAGAACGTAGCAGTTAATGGCCACTAATTCCAACTTGCCCCAGGAAGGGTCCATTAGCTGCTCTTACAGAGGGAGCAGTAAGCTTAGTGGGTGTACGCTTGAGGAATTTGGTCCAAGCAATAGCGGCTCCATTAGATTTTATGTGTATAAGTGCACATGTGGAAATGTGCGTGTGCATCTTCATCAAACTGACACATACCCTTCAAGGCAGACAGAGGACTTTACTCGATTTCTTCCAAGAGCTCGTCTGGATGTTTCAATCTGTTAATAGGGAAGGCAGAGACGCACAAATGTAGTCCACGAAAAAAGCCTATGCTGCACTTTTAACTGTAGCAATGCATTATTTACCTCACTTTTGTAGTAGTCACTGTTCTAGTTCTGCAAACAGTAAGAAAGCATCAGCATATAAGAGTGCTCACTGACTAATTTGTCTGTAACTGCACATTTAACGGTCTAAACATTAACCGTCTCATCTTCAAGCACTTACTTTGACATAATCCAAGTAGCAAGAAAACAGGAAAGTAGCGATAGTGTTAGAGAAAAGGAAGGCTAGCTCATTATGATGATCGAGGTGGGATTAGGTTAGATAAGTCTCTGACCAGTGGGACTCCGGCGCTGAAGTTGTTTGGTCGCTCCAGACCCCTTTCCAACATGTTCTGCACCCCTGGCTGGAAAAAAAAGAACAAAAAGGAAAATGATGAAAAAAAACATGCATTATTACATATATTCAAAAAGCGTTGCAGGACTATGTCGTTTTTCTGCAGAGAAGCGTGTCGCAGAGTTTAGGAGTCTGCACAGAAACTTCCTTAAGTTTTCCACTCCACCAACTCCACCTTTTATTGCACGGTTTCTGCCTTTACACCGAGCCCTCGTCCTTAATTCATAAGGTCTAGAAAACATGAAGTCACCGCTGCAAGCTTCAGTACTTCACAAAACACCTCGACTGCTCTCCAATACGTCTTTCCTCCTCTTTTCTTATATGGCGTCCCCTTCCCTATATGGTGGTGTGAGGATTGAGGGATGTCTAGGCCATGACGAGGATCATGGTCTAGACACCCCCTCCAACACACAGACTCTGTCTCTGCTTTTGTAAGCAGATAGTCTGAATATTTCATGCAGGAGGTTGGAGAAAATCTGGGTGGGACTTCTGACTGTGCAGTTGTAATCTTTTTATACTTGTGTGGTAGAACTGTTAGTTCTACCACACATCTCATATAATAAATGTGTTGGTTACTGCAAAGAATCATTTACAAAATGCATTTTACAAACCCAAAGCAAAAAAATGTATGTGTTCATTTGTATAAAGGTGAGTTTATAAAATACAAACACAAAGTACATAGTACCAAATTAGATAAATTAAATGTAGGTGTTTTATAAAAAAAAAAAATAAATAACCTAAAAACAATGACAGTTACAAATTACAACCCATTCCTGTATCTAAAAAAAGGGAGGACACCTTACATAAGTGCCAAGCAGAAATTTTCTGTTACCTTTGTTGCTTTAGACAAATTTTATTTGGTAGCCAAAATGGCAATAATGATTTTTTTTTTTTATTTGATTGTGCAGAATAGAGTGGAATAGAATTGAATAGAATAGTGATGTTTTAAATGTACCGGAGGTCTGTTGATGAGCCAGTATGCCTGTTCCTGACATTCTAGAACGATTCGGTCGGCTTTCCTCCTCTGTTTGGATGCCCTATAAACAGAAATCACAGCGGAAGTTTTATATGCATGTTTAATCATGCATGGAAGCATGGATGCGTGTAAGTGTACCTCAGTTGCTCTCTGGCTTGCATCACCACAAAGTCCCAGGTGTGGTTGATCCGCTTGTGCAACAGACTGTACCTCTCCTAAAAAAGGCAGTAGGGGGAAAAAGAAAAAATGGAACAGAAGAGAAGTGATGACAAAAGACCTTTGCTGAAAACTCTTTCTTACATAATTCATCACACAAACATAATGTCCCTACCTTTTCATATTCCATCAGCTCTCCTTGTTTTCTTATGTTCTTTTTAGCCAAATATATTGCTGTGAGTGGAAAAGCAAAGTGAAGGTTATTGCAAATGTCTTCTTTATGTTTGGTCGTCATATCTATTTAAAAACATTTTACTAAGCACTCTTCCAAATATCTCCCTACCATAGTCTAGTTCTGTGGCAGGCCAGCGGGTGCTTGTCCAAAAATAAGGGGTCTGGGAAAAAAATATATTGTTACAGTTGTTTACGATAGCAATAAACGTGGAGATGGTGACAGATGGGAGAGGGATTACTTTAGGAACTGGGCTGATAGAGAGAGGGAGTGTGATAAAGCAAGATAAGACACTGTTAGAGTGAAAATGGCAGTTTAGCCAACCATAGGCTTAAGGAAGGCCTTTATTTTCATGCAGCTGTCACGAACACCCAACCAGGGGGGTGATAATCTGACCTGGAAGCGGTAGGGAGACTCATCAGGTCGTAACACGAGGCAGCGGGGCTCTTTGAGAGGGTAAATGTATCCGTATTTGACCAGCATCTCGCCAAGATGTAGAGCCTCTGTTAAACAACCCAAAAAAGAGCCCTGGTTACAAAACAAATGCCATAAGGCATAAACATCTGCAGAAAAGGAGAACCACTATATATGCTTAGAAATGTGCAATCTGAGGGTTAATATTCAAATCACGGCCATCTGTAGTTTTTCCTTTGTGCTGTTGTAGATTTAAGGGGCATTTTAACAACCACTGTTCACCTGATATAAGCCTTCCAGGTTAAAGATCATTCATAGGCTTTTTGACTGAGTGATTGATTGATTTATTGTCTTTATTGATCTCACAGTGGAGAAATGTATTTGTTACCTCAGCTCAAATAGTTTAAAAGAGAAGAGGAAGTTGCCAAAGGAAGAAAAAGGTGCATGGGATATATAAAGTATATACAGTGCGTCCACATATGACAGTTTTTTTTTTTTTGCCAACCTAAGCTTATTTCAAGAAACCTCCTTAACGCAGTCCTTCAAGGAATCACACCTAAACAGTCCCGACACCTCCTCCGTCTCCACGGATATCTGCCTGCCCACTATCAGACCTCAGCTTACAAATTCTCCTGAGTTCTGTTAGAAGCCCCTTCTCAGTCACCTTCCAGGACGACTCATTGTCCAACTGAAAATGACTACAGAAAGCCAGTCTTCTCCTTTGTTTTGACTATCTCTTCTCGTTCCTCCCAATGTCATTAACCTAGCCCTCCAGGAGCTATTACATTCATCATCCTTTAATTAAAACTTTTATCGTTATCTAATTTCTGCATGTGTTGGATAACTTCCAAGTAATAATTTAAATTGAATGGAGAGTTTCTTTGATGAGTAGAATTTTAGTCTTGCCGAAGATTGACAGCTCACCAAGTCCCAGACCTTGGCAGTGATTGACAGTCACAAAGAAATTGGCAGAGACAGGGATGCAAACATAGAGAGTGATCGCTATGATGATAGTTTTGCGAATGGAGGAATTATAGGAGGTGGATGATTCCTTGTGCAAAATTGAAATGCTGTGTTGAGGAGACCAGCAAAAAGATTAGCACCGTGGGTGTAACATTAGTATTAACTAGTATTAACTTCCAAGAAGTTTTAGTCCTGAGTAGGATGCAGGAGTTTGTGCTGCAACCAAAGGGAAGTTGATTCAAGCCCTGACTCTAGCTTTTTTTTATAATAATTAATGGTCAAAGTGACCATTTTGTATCGGTTTGCCCTTTTAACTCTATAGATAGGAAAAAAAACACTACCAAATTAGATTGGTTGTTTTAACCCAAAGATTGGTTGGACACATAACTACCAACTAGATTGGTAAAATTCAACCAATGTTTTGGCTGTATTGACCAATTTGTTTTCAGGGTGACTTTCCTGGTTAAAGAGATATTTTTGTAAGTTTTTGATAAAAAATATCTGTAAAATAATCATTTGATTTGACCCTATTTTCTCTGAATGGGCTCACATAAGCAGTGGGTAGCATGGAACAGTGGGTAGCACTGTAGCAGCAAGAAGGTTCTAGGATAAATTCCTGGCCCTGGTTCTTACTGCATGGAGTTGCATGTTGTCCCCGTTCATGTGTGGGTTCTGTCCGGGTACTCCGACTTCCTTCCACAGTCCTAAAACATGACTGTTATATTAATTGGATTCTCTAAATTGTTCTTAGGTGTGTCTGTGTGTATAGTTTTTTTTTTTTTCCTGTCTGTTTCTGTAATGCCCTGCGACAGACAGGCGACCTGTCCTGGGTGTACCCCGCCTCTCCCCCATAGACTACTGGAGACAGGCACTGACCCTACCGTCACCCTGACAAGGACTAAGTGGGAGAAAATGGATTGATTGATTTACATTTGGTGATTCTGCTGCAGTCAGTGCTGCAGTCAGTGCATGCAGGAGAGAAAAAAATATAGATCTCCAGCCGGTGAACAATACCGCCTTAACGACCGACTCTTAACAATCATAGACAGGTTTTTAGGTATTACAGGAGAC